CTGATGGAAAATGGATGGATGGATGGACATTTAGACAGGCATTATAAGACCATACAGTTTGTTTTTGCTTTTTCTTTTAGCAAAAAAAAATATTTCAGGGTAAGTAGTCCCTTCAGAAAACACTTTCCACCCCAAAAAAGATTTTCTTAAGTCGACATTCCATTTATTCAGCTGCTTTAACCCTTTAAAGCCCGATTCAAGAATAAAACTAAACAGAAAATTACTTTTTTTTTTGTTTGAAGTCCTTATTTGCCCTTTTAACAAAATATGTAAAAAGAAATAACAGAAATACATTTTTGATATTAATAATTTATTACTATGCGACAAGTCAAGATTATTTTTTGTGTAGTCTTCTGCCCTCTGTTATCAGGTATATCTGATTGTGTACAATAGGATTTTGAGCAAAGTTTTTACCATTAAATTATGCAAAAGGTGTCAGACGCAAAACATTTCAGAAACCGTATGTATCAAATATGATACATTTGGCATTACAGGGATAAAGAAAATTCCAGTCACACTGTGTGCATCCACACACCGTGGATGCACATGCATACAGGATATAAAATGTGGATACTAGCCACTCACACAGACAGCACCTGTCAGCTGGTGTTGTGGGACAGCCAAAGGCTTGTTTGTTTTCTTCCTCTCTGATTCTCTCTCTCTCCCTCACTTTCTCCCTTTAGCACACTGTGTGTGTGTGTGTGGGTGTGTGTGTGTGTGTGTGTGTGTGTCTCTATTTAAGGGTCTCCATTTTTCCCACTCAGTACCTCCTCACCTCTCCACCTGCTGTTCTTTCCTTCAGCATATTCCACCTATCTCTCTTCATACCAGACCATCATACTTCCATACATTAGATCTCCCCCTCTCTGCACCTGGGACTGAAAAAACAGCCTCTCTGAGTCTCTCTCTGCCTCCCTGCTCATTATATCCCAGAGGCAGCCACTCGTTCACTGAAAAAGGCCAGAGATAAGCTACAAGTATGAGTACATCAGTGCTCTGCATGAATGCCATACCCAGACTCTGTGACTTGGGCATTTTAAAGTGAAATAATGAAATCAGCAAGGCTCCATCTTCAGACGAAGCGACCTCACCACTTTATCTCCCAGTCCCAGTTCCAAAGCACGATAGGGGCCTCAATATCAAATGAGGAAACCAATCATCAATGAGAAAAAAGGAAAAGAGGAAAACAGTGCAACGAAAATATATTTTTATGGATTAAATATACAAAGATCTTTTACAGATGGAGGGTGAAGGTGAATAAAAAGGCTTTCATGCAATCAGCAAAAGCACTGGTGAATATGAAGCACAGAATAGAACCCTTAAAAGTACCCAGGTTTACAAATCTTACACGTAAACAGCTCCTAATCAGTAGTGGCAAGCAATTAATTTGGCATTAAAAAAAATTTAAAGCTTTACTCTTCAGGGCATAGGTCCTTAACTTTAAGACATATTTCCAGCAACATTACAGTTTTCTTGCCTGTCTACAATAAAATAAAGTGCAATAATGATAGGAAATTTTAAAAAGAAGATATTTATAAAGATTTATTTGACTGAAAATTACAAACTGTTTAACACTATAACGCTATAACTGTAAAATATCTGACACATACACAGCAACATTTTCTAACTTTCCTAAATCCTAAATTATTATAATATGATGTATTCAGATTTTGTTGGAGCTGTGGGAGACTTTTTTTAGGCCAGGTTATACATTTTATATTTTGCATGATGCTGTTGAATTAATAAAGGTTTTCATACAGTTTAATTCTAGCCCATGCCTAATCTTAAATAAATACCATGTTAATCCTAATTCTAGATTTTTTTGTGAGGTGTAAGAGATTTTTTTTTCCTAGTTTTCTTCAGTGTTGCAGTTTTACTGATTAGTTTATGTAAGTAAAGGTAGATATCCAAACAGATATACAGGAAAAACCTAAAAAAATATTTTTTTATATCTATAGTGTGAATGCAGACAGGTCCATCTGTGTGGACCTGTCTGCATTCACAGACAGGTCCACACATATGTAAGGCTAAAAACAAAGATCATTTGCCTCTTTAAAAAAAGAGTAAACTCTGGACTTCAGAGAAGGAACACAGATGCAATATCTGTACGGACCATCAGCTTTGAAAACTGTATAAGTTATATTTTCACCTATTCGATGTAGTAATGAAGAAGTACAATCAAGTGTTTCAGGAGTGGATGACAGAAAGACTGACATAATTAGAGCAAACATTAGATTTTTTCCCCCCAAGTAACTGGCAACAGTACAGCAAAGAAAAGCAGCCTCCAGAAAAATCAATAGGGACATAGTGAGAGTGAGGAGATAAGGAACCCCACTATCATCCAGAGATCAATGTCTTATCACTTTGACATGTTTATTGATGCACAAGCAGAGCCGGCTGTACAGCAATGGTTTCAAAGCAGGCAAAACTAAATTCAAACTAGGAACGCTAATTAAAATCTATTCTAATTTTCATACTTGAGATAAAATATGATGCAACCATATGGTGGTTTGGTACACTATAATGTGTTTTGGTATGGGTAATATTGAAATATGCCATAAGTAGGGAAAGAGATCCAGTATTGGTGTCAGGTTCTTTAGAAACTTGCTTTTTCTAAAGTGAATCTTATAAAATGTGCAGTAGTATCATCTGCAATAATCCCTTTGTTCAGCACAATATGAAAAAACAACATCTACCATTATACTTAATATCCGTAAAGCTTCTCTCTAATTTGCTGTGATTTTTTTCTTATTAATTTGCTTTTAAGTTTAATGTAAATTAAAAAAAATAAGTCGCTGAATTGAAATGTTAAAGCTCTAGTGAGTCCGTGTGCTGCTGTTTTTGTTCCTGCGGAGGGCCTTCAGGGTCCCACTTCATGAATCTCTGCTAATAGCTGCATGGAGAGTCTATCAGGTTGAAATATGACAGTGTAAATCTATTTAATGTTGTAGGTTGACCTAGAAAAAAGACACTTACTGTTTCTCTCCTAATTGAAATAATAGAGAGGTGTTTTTTTTCTCTCTTTTTTTTCACACATAATGTGTTTTTTTTCTTTAACCTTCGGGTTAGAAGGTCTAGGTCTTATCTATTCATTCATTACAGCAATCACTTATAAGCACATCCTCCTCTTTTACACATCTCGCCTTGCAATGTATTTAGCTAAAAAAACATAAGCTTTAAAAATAAAAAGACTCAGTTGAACACAGCGATGGAGCATGTGCTGCACCTTGCAAAATTATTCATATTCTTTCGCATTTTGTGACAGATCTTTTTATGAGCACAATGTATTATATGACACAAACACACAAAGGAAAACACCACCGTGAGATGGAAGAATAATGCTGCATGACTAAGGCCAGTTTTTAAAATGAAGGGGCTGAAAAGCGTTGTGGTATACGTGTGCAGCTGTCTGATTCTGTACTTTGTAGAAACATTTTTAGGTGGAATTGTAGCTGCAAGTCTTTTTGGTACGACTCCGACAGCGTTGCCTGTGAAAAATGTGCATATACCTCTTTGAAAAACAGACTACAACTACTAGAGTGGATGGAAACCATTTGTAAACAATAAAGTTAAAGTTCAAGGATTGAAAAATAAATTTGGATTTTCATTTGCCTTTAATTATAGATGACGGCATCTTTCAACCATGGAAATATGCTTCTGCTCTAAACCATTCAATGAAATGAAAAAATACATATATAAATGATTCATATCTATAATTAAAATATAAATATATTTAAAATTCTATATGCAGCAAGGATTGTTTATTTATATTTATTTGTGTTTCTTCAGAACTGTGCACCCAGCTACCCATTTCTAAACCTAAACAAACCTCAATTCACACCTTAGTCCGTAACACCTCTCATGAGGACCAGTCGTTGGTTCCCACAAGTATCTGTAAGTCCCCAAAATGTAGCATGTTCCTGGGAAATCATCCACACAGAGTAACAAAAACATGACCACACACACACACATAAAACAGATTCAGATTTGAGGCTGTAATCGTAATGAATAACGTTAAAAATGTAAAGGGTGGAAATGCATTTGCACGGTATGAATACAAATAATTATACTGAATAGCACAAAAAGGTTTTTATTGCCATGCTCCATCAAACCTTAATCCGGGCATAATGTCATATTTTAAATTGTTGTACTCAGCCACAGCTCAAACTGTACGACAAAACTGCAGGGTTTAAAAATTCAAAGCTCGCAATGCATGTTCTTACGCTGTACGGCCCGATACTCTGATGCAATCTAAATGCTCACGCTGCACATCCAAAAACCACACGTCGGACTCAGCTCCAAGAGATGGCGTCAATCTGGTAGAAGAAGAACTCCCTCGTTTGCACATGCACAGTGCTCCATGTTCTGGAAAATCGGCTCGTAGACGCACGTAGCTCTGCTTCAACAGCAGGATTTACCCATGAACCCCTCATAAGGGCCGACTGAATTTCAACATGTTTGATCTTCTCACGACCTCACGATTCCTGATTGGGATATGGTGGTGAAAGGCTGATCGCCCCTCATTACCCCCAGTGTACTACACAAGGCAGGACGCAACATGAGGCTGAAACTCGGTCCGATCGAAAAAATTCTCACAGAACTGGAGCCCAAAAGAGGGTAAAAAATTGTACAGTGTATGCCCGGCTTTAGTCCTGCTGTGCCACAAAGCCACTCAATCTTATAATCAGACTACAAAATCAAACAAAACATTGCATCACATTTTCATCTGTTTATGTGAAACACCCAACTAAACACTGCAGACCATGACCGGTATGGTTTTAGTTTTCTAAATACATGATTAAAAAAACTCACCAGAGACGTGCAGAACTTCCCTGAATTATATTAAGACAGGCAGCCATTTTTTTTTTTACCTCCAAAGCAAAAAAACATGCAATAGTTTTAAGAAGACATGCAGGATCATGTGGGAGAGATGTGTTTAAACTAACCACATCAAAGAGTATACAGTTCTAACAAAGAGAGAATCCATTGTCGTTACTCACCGAGGCCTGGTGGGTTCTCAGGACACGGTGGTAGCGGTTTGGGAGAAGGTGTATGATTGTTCTCAGGCTGCGAGCTCGGTACCAGCTGTTCACCTGCGGCCAGGTAGGGGGCTGAAGTCGCATTGGGTCTTGAGAGGTTGTAGTAGTAAAAATGATGCCCGCTGGCTGCTCCACTGCTGTTATTCCTGGACCCATTTCTGCCATTATTAAAGCGGCTGAAGATGTCAAACCGCTGCGAGTAGACGTCAAAGTACAGGATCATCATGATGAGGAAGTGGAGCAGGCAGAGCAGCAGGACGCCTTTGCAGATGCGCTCCAGAGTCCGGCCCAGCATCAACCGTGACATGGCAGAAGGAGTTGGCCGTCTTGTGACGGCCAGCCACAGCAACGCTGGCGTAGCTACGGGAATACACTCATCCTGTGGTTTCTGTGCGTGATAACAGCTGCTGTTAGATCTCGTATGGGTTCATGTGGACTGTTGGTACTCTGACTACAGTATGAGTCATGGGGTCACCAATGAAGAGAGGAAGACCACTTCTTCAGCTTCATCCACAATGTTTAAACTCTTCAAGACTGGCTTGATTGTGGTTAGCCTTCAGGTGTTGTTTTTGCACCACAAAGGAGCAAAATACTTTGAAAGGCATCTAGTGCAGAAGCTCTACTCCTATCAGTTCCACCATTTTTACCATTTCCACTTATCCAGACATGTAGATGTGTCAAGTGGCAGCTGAAGCTTTGGGATACTCCATTTTTAACACAGCCCAATTAGTCAAAAATGTGTTTTTTTGCATTGAAGTTCTCCGAAAAAACATTTAACGGATTGGTCACACAAATATTCATCTGTACAGAGGATCTGCAGGGAAGTCCATTAGAAAGTCTTTTTTTCTCATTGCACCACGAAGGTAGTCACAGACCTGAAGAAGAAAAGAAAGACAGTTGAGTAAGACTTTTGTAACCCTTACTAAGAAAAAGTCACCACTTTTTTCACTCAAAATTGCATATCAATAAATACCTTTTTATACAGTAGCAAAACAGAATAACATAAATCAATTCAACATAGAGATTTCAAAAAATTGTTTTATTCATTAAGGATAAAAAAACTACCCAAAACTGTTTCCTCGTGAAATAAAAATTAACCAGATTCAAGTTCATTGTTGACATCCAGAGCTGATTAAAGCCCAACCTGTAGAATCAAGAATTCACTATAATGGAACCTGTCTGACATTCAATGAGATAAAAGATCTCTAAAACTATCAAATCATGTCCTAATATAAAAAGAAATGCAGGACAAAAAAAAAAAAAACTGAAATTGATCTGTCAGGAAGCACCTAGAAAGTTATCCATAAGAAATGTGTATATTTGTAACCTATAGTAAGAGTCTTTTATATCCTAAAGGAGAATTTACATTAATTGGTTCATTACTCTTTACTTTTAGAGAAGTTGGATTAGCAGGAAGACAGCGATACACTTCATAAATTGGAATGTAATTAAGTCATTTTGTTCTTATAATAAGATAATATTTTCTTGAATTGTGGAGGTAAGTGGGGCACTTACCAATGGAACAAGACAATTTACATTTAAAATAAGAAGAAACAATTGCATTGTCTCATTTCAAGTGCATACTATCTAGTTATCTTATTGTAATGCTGCGTTCACACCGGGGGCAGCTGGCGCGACAGAAGCAGCGAGTTTACATGCAAAGTCAATGGTTGACGCGCGTCAAGGCGCAGCAAAAGGTCCCGCGGCGCGTTTCGAGCAGCAAGCGCAGCGCGTCTGAGCAGCTGAAGCAGCGCGTCGGGCGCGTTTTGGCATCTGACGCGCGTGACGCGCCGCAAACGCGTTGCTGCTCGAGATGGAAAAATTGAATTTTTGCTGCTCGACGCGCCGCGTCAACCAATCAGAGAAGCTGATCTGGGAGCTGGCTGGGAGAGAGACACAGCGCTGATGACACAGACTGCTCTGATCACTTCTCTTAAACAGTTTATTAAAGCATAATTAATTTAAAATATATACATCTGCCGGCAGAATATGTTCGCTTTTATTATTCTGGTGCCTGCAGATCGGATTATTTAGATGAAAAACACCTACCAGCCACCGCGGTAAACCGCGAGGAGGCGACCCGACCAGAGGCTGCTGATTAATGGATTCCTTCTGTCGGCGCACCGCCGGTATGTGGGGGTCTGAGCGGCTCCGACAGAAATAACAGTGCGAGGCAGGATTGTAATCTGGATGAACTGACTCCACTGATGAAGTTTTCAGGTGTATTTTCTCACTTAAAAACATATTAAAACTACTTTATTCCCACTGATCACAGCAAATATAGCTGCAAGGCAGAGAAAGGATAGTGAAGCTCCGCCCAACGCGCGTCAGAGCCACTTTTGGACCGCGCAGCGAGAGCAGCAAAGCTGCTTCAGACGCGCGTCAGAATTCACTGGTACAAGCAGCAAAAATGAAGCAGCAGACGCGATTTTGCTGCTTTTGCTGCCCCCGGTGTGAACGCAGCATAAGAGTAAATATACTCACTGCATTGGCAAATCATCTTATTTACCGCCTCTAATTAAGTGTAAATACACTTAATTTAAGAATATATTACTTATTGGTAGATCGTTTTTGCAGTACAGTACAGTTGCTCAAAATCTACACTAATGTTTTGGAATCACTAGTCAAAGTCTGGACACACTGATGCATGACCTTAAACAGACTGGTCATGCTGGAGGCCTCTAATATGGTTGAATTAAACCATTTGTGCACAGATGAGTGAGCAACAGTTCATCAACAACAACATCCAGATTTATTGCAAGTTATCACAAAAATCTGATGGCAGTTGCTTCCATTATTAGTTGCACAAGTTAGATGTACAAGGTTATTCTTTTTTGGAGTTATGTTGGTTTTAAATGGCCAATATTTGCTTTTTGGATTTATTGTGGTGTATTTGATTTAATATTTATCATGTGAAAATAAGCAAAAACGTGTGATGGTAAATACATTTCTTATAAGGTCCTTCAATTTATTTGTCAAAATATTCCTTTCTGAAAGCAGTTAAATATTTTCTTATTATGCTTACTGACAAAACTGCAGGTTGAATGCCATTAATTATGGAGGCATGTTTTGACTCAGACACTTCTTGTATTATTAGCTGCATAAAATCCAACCATACATCATCGATCTTTCACTGGCACTTAGAAAGCAGTGACCTTGTTCTTTTCGTCAATGTCAGGTTAAATAGCAAGAAAAATATAGAAGAAAAGGAATAAGTACACATGTGAATTTCAAGGAATATAAAGGAAGGAGAAAAAAAAAAACTCCACAATCGATAACAAGCCAAACCAACCTAGTGCCTTGACTGGGGCAGTTCAGCCAAATTGACATACCAAATCAAATTTCCAGTCAAGTGGTTTAAAAGGCATTTATGATATGAGGAGACTGCAAGTGGGAATACACAAAGCAATGAACATACAAGGAAAGGAGAGAAGGGATGTGGGCGGTGGGGAGAGTCACTTAGTTTATCCCCAGGAGCGAATTACTGAAGGTTTATAGCTTTTCCAATAAATGAGAGGAAAAAATGAGAAAGATAAATAGCCTGAATGATATCAGAAGCTCTGATAAAAACCACAAGATCACACTATTTTCTATGCTAATAGCAGATATCTAAAGAATATTGGGTCTGATGTTCTGCAGAGGGGAACATCATACACATTCTCTGAAAAAAGCCTGAAATCATACACTATCCAAAATCTATGCAGGCTCACTTTATCGCTACTGCTTTATGTTTAGCAAAACAAGAGCAGTCCTCCACATTCTACTGAGATACTACAATCTAAACTTTAAGCAACATACATGGTCTATAGCACAACGCTACAAAATGTCTATGCAAACTTCATAGTTACTAAATGTGGTGATTCCCACTGCCAACACATGGCTTCTACTTGACAATTGTATCTACTGAATAAAAGAATAAACTTTAAATACAAGAAAGTGAAGACCATCAATTTTTTTTTACTTGGAAAAAGTGATTATACACACAGTGTAGAAATGTGTCTATACCATTATACCATTTCAACCATAGGTTATAAACCAACAGCTCTGGGTTAGGGGTAAAGTTGATCTGCTGTAAGGCTTCTGACCATCTCATCTGCAGGCTCCATTTTTTTTTTTTAAGGTTGACCTGTTTTTAGCCATCTAACCAAAACATCCTCCTGCTGTTCCCATATTTTAATAGGGGGATGCATGTTCAGGGCGATGTGCAACATTAGCTGTCTGCCTCTCACACTTTTTCACATGTTGACCAAAAGGTTTTCGTTCTGGACTAACCTGATAAGTGCATGTTCTTCCTCATTACTTTTGGCTCCACATTTGTGGCAAACCGTAAACATTTTTCTTCTTCTTCATTTTAAAATAATAAAGAATGTTGGATTGAACAGCGTTCTGTTCGACAGCTAAGGACATTGCGTAGAGCTCACCTGCTTTAAACTTCATCACAACTTAGTTCCTGTATAGAACGGCTTTTTTCATAATGAGATTAAATAAAACAAACTTGGATTCTTTTTATTGGTTGAGGGACTTTTGATTTTATTCGATGGCACTTGACTATTATTTAAGGACATGAAATCCTTTTTGTCAATTCAGGTCCCACACACAATTTATGCACCAGATTATGTTGATCTGTTCCATAAAATCCCATTAAAGTACACTAAATTTCATAGTTGTTTTTGACAAAAGGTGAAAAGATTCATTCACTATTACTGAATGAATCTTGGTTTTGTTTGAGTGATTTGTGTTGAACGTAAATAAGAATGAGTGAGTTGCACAACATCTCCATTGACCTATGGACCTATGGAGCAATATACATTTTACAATCTTACTTCACGTTTCCAGTAGATTTTATTAGAGTACAAATTAATATGACAAAACTTTAGAAATGTCCCAATACAACTTTGGATTTCTGAAACGATACTGAGTTATTACAGCTTTGAGATTTGAACAATATCAATATATTAATATTAATCATACATGGCTTTTTTTTTTAACCCTATTTTGTACTTAAAATTTTTAGAGAAGGCTTGATCAATTGATATTACTAAACAGAGAACAGTCAATAACAATAGATATGAGAACAACTGACCCATGTTACAGAATGACCCATGTTATATTACCCAATGGGTCATAGAAGCTTTAAACAGAAGCAGAATGTTTCTATCATTGTGCCAATATTGAAGATTTGAAAAAATCTGTAGGCTGATATAATCCGATAGTTTTTTGGCTAATATTGGACTGATATCCGATATTAATTTTGTAGCAGAAAACCCCTGGGCCTGTACTTATATAGCATTTTTCAAGTCAGGGGACTTGACAACACATCAAGCGATACACCCACTGATGATGGCAAACTACATTGTAGCCACAGTGGCCGTACACAGACACAACAGAGCCATCTGACCATCATCAGTAGGCATAGCAGGGGAAGTGTCTTTCCCAAGGACACAACTGCAATGAAAGGAGTTGGGCTTCAAACCAACGACCCTCAAGTTAAGGACAAACTCCTGCATCCTACAGCACTATTCCCATGTCACGTGTTTTATTGTCATGTGTTTGTCACATCGCCTTACCCAACACCAGTCTGAAAGAAAGAAATGCTTTAACCTTTTTTGTCTTTCAATGAAAAATCTCAGAGGAGCATAGTTTCCTCTGCAGCACAGGTACTGAATTGCAAAGCTCAGCAGGGAAACAGAAAAAAAATCAGACAGAATTGAGGTCCTGTTTTGTTCAGTTGAACAGGAAGTCTCAAGGATCAGTGAAGACAGAATACAGATCAGCTCTTCCTTTCATATGGGGAACAAAAAAAAACAAAACATGAGCTTAAAATCAAATTTTCTCCCAACATCTTCATTTCCTTATTTAGCAACCAAGTTGAAAG